GCTGCAATGAGTCACGAAGGAGATGATGGTTGGGAAAGGTTGGGGCTTTCCACAGACTCAGGGGGACGTTTCAGAAGTCACATAGACCTCTCCCATACACAACCATGGGCTGAGAGGGTTTAAAAACCAGCAGACAAGGGAGGAACCTGTTCTTTGTCCGTGGCGCTGAAGAAGAGACAACGAGAGGATGCAGATTGAAGACCAGCAGAGGACCGCACCTTGGGACCAAGGGGAAGTTGAGACTTCATGCCGCCAAGAAGGGACAAGATCCATCTGCCCCCAGCCCTGGTTCCTGATTCGACCAACCCCTCTGCCTCAACCCAATGATCTCTACTCTACTGCAGCAGACTTGGAGAAAAGACAAAGGTCACTGGGTGACGAAGATTCTGTGTGTTTAAAGGACAACGGACAGTTTTGCTTTGCTTCTATTCTGAAAGAGGACTTTGCCCCGTCAGGACAGAGACTCTGACCAAGGACATTTGAAGATTTTAGCTGCCGGGATCAACTGCCATCTGGTGTGAGTTGAACTGCCCCCCAAGAGCCTCGCTTAGTTAAACTAGTGACACAGGATAGGGATAGAAATGAGAATAGGTTATGATTGATTTTAATTTGAATTTGTTGTATTACTACAAGTTTATAATCTCTGAAAGTAAATCTGCTTGTCATTTACCCCTGCTAAAGCTTGCTCAATAAATTACATACTAAAATTACCAATGGAACTTGTGGACATTGAGATTAACTGAGTCGTTTGATCATTGTAGTTTCCCCTGATTACAGTAAAATTAGCATACATGATTCTAGAGATGTGGTGGCTTCGTACTTTCCTTTGGTGAGTGTAAAAAATAATGACCCTGGGACTTAAGTCTAAGTCACTAAATCCAATCTAGCTGTTAACAAGTGCCGTTATTTTTAGGAAAAGAGCTACCGTTAACAGGAGTGGTTGTAGAGGCTATACAGCTGTGAGGGCTACTCAGCTGACTGTTTCTCAACTGAAAAGGGTCATAACTTCTGGATTTGTAGGTAGTTAGAGCTAGACGAGTCTTTTCCGCCACCAGTTTGAATAGAATATCTCCTATAAACCGATTCGTGGGTAAGACCCGGGTTTCAGGGACTTTCCGGACCTGTTAGACAGAGAACTGGTCAGTAGTCAGTCGAATGAGTGGTGAGATAAAGGCGGGGCTGGCTATTGCATAAAAACAAACAACATGTTTAACTATTTGTGGTGTATATGTAAATGTTCATAACAGGGTGGAACACAGTCAGAGACAATGGTGAAAAAAAACACCTGCAATTATTAATTTATCCAATCCTGAGCTTGCCCATTATTAATTTCTTATTGTTAAACATGTCAGTGTTGTAACACAATATTTAAAACTTAAAACATTAATACTTTTTTTTTTCAAATGTCCTGAAGCCGAAATGTTGCCGCAAAAAAAGAATCACCCAGTTAGAAACACCCTACAATTTGTTTTCAAGATCTAACACCAGTTG